TAGCCTGTCCTGTTAATTCAGAACAGTGTGGCTAATGTTTCAGTTCAGTGAATTATTTATTCTATACATAAACATCTGATTAGATTTGTCTCTCTTACAATCATATCATTAGCTTATAAACATGTTTTAGTTTTTGAAGCATGCCATTAAAGTTCCATGGGATCTATGTTTCCTGTTGATTTGGATGTAACTACAGATTCCCCTTGAATTAGGGTGATAATTGGGATTGGATAAGCAATATGATCATAAAGCACAATGCAATTGTATTGCTTAGTGACAGCAGCCTGGTGATTCCTGTTGCTATTGTTAAGTGAGAATCTCACATGACCTTGACACAGGAAGAGGTGCTAAAATTGTGCTCCAGGAAAGCAGGTTGGCGTTATGGAGACCAATTGAGTGGGTGCTACATGTGAGTGCATGAAGGGTGGGCACTTCCATTTATGGTAATTTTGAAGCTGGGCAGCCTTCTAAATCTAAATAACAATGACAGTTATAATGATAAAAGCTGTGAACCTTTGAAATAGTTAATTATGTGCTAATAGTGGTACTTTTTCCAGATATGAATGAAGATCTACACAGAGAACAGGAACCTGAATGATTAAGATCTGGTTGTAAATAAATATGCTGTAGACATACAGTATGGCAAAAATAATGTGCAGGAGTTACATTGTGATGAAAATTCTAGTGATAATTTTTATATTGATATAAAAGCATAAACTGAAAATAGAGTGATATATTACCAAAGAGGCTCTAGGGACTTAATTCTAAGCAATGACAAGGTTACATTGGGTGAACTCAATGTTTAGCATTCATACAGTGTTCTGTTATAAATTCTTTATTTTGTACTACTATCATGCTGGATTGGATTGTTTAAAGCATTATGGTTATTATAAGTTGGTTGCACAGTCAGCCAGATATTTAAACTGGATTTGGCATTTTTATCCACCTATCAAATCACTCCTAAGGACCTGGGATAGGCAGATGTTGATGTTGACAGTATTAAAGGTATCATTGCATGATGGAAGCTGTTCCAAGTAAAGCTGTTTTTGCAATTGACTGATGTCAATGCTGACATTGACATCAGTGGTACTTCAGAGGTTTTGGGATTGCACCCAAGACCTCTATTGCTATTGGTACTATTTTTGCTTTCTTTTGCCACAGCCATTCTATCCACAGTATATTTTCAAGTCTTTGTGTTTGTTATATTCTCTAGTTCTTTCTCCTCTATTCTACAGAATAACCAATAACGTTGGTTATTCAATTATGTGGCAGAGAGTTGAATGCCTTCTTGTAATCAATCCAAGCTACATTCAAGTTGATTTTCTTTCTCTTGCAGTTTTCTAAAATCATTTGGTCAATTAGGAGTTGATCTTTTATTCCTCTGCTATTGGGGTGATTTCTTTTTTGCTCAGGTGGAAAGAGCTTGTTTTCAACTAGATGCTGTTGGACTGCATCAACTATCAATACCAGTTAGCAATTTGAAAGTTGTTGGTGAGCAGGTAATTGGCCTTCAGTTTCCTGGTACTGCTCCATTTGTTAGATCATTCATTACTAGGTAGGTTTTACCAGATGTTAACCGATCTTCAATTTTAAATCCTCTCAGTATGTTAAACTGTTTGGCAACAAGTGGGTTAGACCAGTCAGATGTTTCACCTCAAAACCATGCAGTTTATCTTCACCTGGTGCTAACCAATTCTTTCCCGTTCCCCACTATTTCTGCTGTTCATTAGGTATTCTTTGTTCTTCAGCTTTTCTTTCATTTGTCTTAACTTGCTTGCATCTGTTCTTAGCATACTTACCTTATTTTCCAGGCTTTTTTTCTGATTTTGTGTTCAAGGTGTTCAATTATAACTGCAGTGATTCTGTTCATTACTTGATTTGTTTTTTGCAGCAAGTCTGTATTTATATTTGATATTACAATATTGGCATCTTTTAATAATTGTATCTTTGGAGTATCTTTGGAGTTATTTCTTTGAAACAGTATGGTACCTAGAAGTGGAGTTCTCCCCTGACAATCTGGAGGCTGTGAGTTCAATCTTAGGTAGCGGCAGATATTTGTCTCTCTGGGTGTAAAGAGAAAATATCTGCTATGAGCTCCATGTAGGTGTCAGGAAGGGCATCTGGCCAGTAAACACTCAGGTCCATTCAGTCGCTCCAACTCTACACTGATGCAAGAGATTTCAAGGTCATTAAAAGAAAAAAAAGCTGTTTCATTGTGTGTGTTCCAATAGTCTTGCAGCTGCTGGTCTCAGTTGCTCAGCTAACAGTTCTAAGTCCCGTAACCCATTTTTCACCATATTTTCGGGAACTCCACATACCGTATTTCCCCCCAAATAAGACCTCATCTTATTTTCTTTTAGGCCCCAAAATAAGCACCAGGTCTTATTTTTGGGGGATGTCTTGCCCGCTTACCTTAGGACCACTGCAGCCATGCCTCCCACGCCCCAATACCTGGCATGTTCCTGCCCGATTTCTTCTGTGGCTGCTTGCAGACGCTCACGACATGATGAGTGACAGGATGCCATGAGGCTCGTTGCACTGGTGTCCCCGCGAACGGCAGGATACTGTGAGGCTCGTGCTGGTGCCGTGTGAGTGGCAGAACACTGCCAGGCTCGTTGCACTGATGCCGCAGCAAGCAGCAGAACGCCGCTAGGCTTGTCGCACTGGTGTTGTTCATCGTGGTACCAGTATGGCAAGCCTTGTGGCTTCTTCTTGCTCACAGCACTAGGGCAACGAGCCTCACTGCGTTCTTCCACTTGCGGCGACACCAGCGCAACGAGCCTCACTGCGTTCTTCCACTTGCGGCAGCACCAGCACAATGCACCTCACAGCATCCAGTCACAAGTGGCCGCAAGTGGCTGCAGAAGACGTTGGGCAGTGGCACGACAGGTGTCAGGGCATGGGAGGCCTGGCTGCAGCAGTCCTAAGGTAAGCAGGTACGGGGCACGTGGGGCAGCTCCACCCCCCACCCCAACTTGATTTTTCTGCCTGTGCCTCGCCCCACCTTGTACAACCAGATGGTGGACAGGGCTCAACTAGGGCTTGTTTTTGGGGTACGGATAGGTCATATTTTCAGGGAAACGTAGCATCATCTTTGTTGACTCAGTTAATGACTGATCCAGAATGGGTTTCTGTAAATTACATTTCACCATGTTATTTATGGGAGAGATTCTTCATCTGGCTCAGATGAGACCTATCCAATATGGTTGAACCTCTGGCACAGCTCTCATTTTTCTCAGAGCATACAAGCCCCCTAATGACATCAAGGCAGTGCCTCACTACGGGAGATTGTACACAGACACACAATGTAATGTAATTTAACATTATGGTTCATCTCACATTCAGATGTTTAGACTGGATTTGACATTTTTATCTACTTAGTCCTTTATTATTATAATTTTCTTCTGCCTTTTAAAAAATATTTTTGGTCAAGTCAAGGCAGCAAATATTCCTAATACTTCTGCTTATTTATTGGGATGCCGTCAGATTAATCCCAGGTTTGACCTGAAAAACCCAGTTCTTGAATATCAAAAGTAGTCATATTTTTTCTTGAAAGTGTTAAATTTCTGATAGCAGGCAATCACTGTTGTTTGGCAATTATTGCATTAACTATTGACTCAACAGTTGCTTTATGTACATAATTTTTCTTCTTCTTACGGATTTGACCCCTTTTTCTGATCACATGTTGGGTTGCCTATATTAAGCTTACATATATCAGCGTTATCACAGAACTTCAAAACTGTTCATGAACTTTTTGCCTCCTCTGGCCAGACACATTAACATGTACATTACTGTTACAGGTTTTGTTGAAACATGTCAATAAGAAAAACTAAATTTGTAATAAATGCTGGCCCAAGAATTATATTTTTTAAAAAGTCAACATAACATTCCCCTAAACTAAATACTTTTTAAATAATACAATACCATAATTTAAAACTGGGAGAGCAAGATAAAGAAAATATCTTATAAAGATAAATACTACATCAAGACTATGCAAAACCTTGGCTCTTCTTGAAGATGGGAAGAGAACATTTAAGATTCCATTTCCAACAATAAAATATTTTGAGATTGCACAAGTGAAAGAGGATTAAGAGTCAAAGGAACACATAACCTAAAAGATTGAATAATTAATCTCAAAAGCTGGTCAAAAAAAAATGCAAAGTTGTTAAACAATTACAATTTACAGCCTATTCCTAACCAAACTGTCTGAATGCCTAATGCAAAACTTACCTTCTAAAGAAGCTCAGCAATAATCAAGTGCTGTTGATCAGCAAGTACTGTTGATCATGCGAATCAGAAGAGAACCTAGGGAGTTGTTCCTCTTAGTTGTTTTCTCTAGGAAACTAGTGGATTAAATTCTCTTGTATCACTACTACTGACAATTTAATAACAGTTTTGGGCAGTATCTTAGACCACCTTTCTACAATTGCATATATTCATGTTGCAAACTACTATTTCTATCACTAGCTTCAGCAGCATCACATTTAACCTCCAGTTCTATTTTCTTTTATTATTTCTTTTTCATTCTATTTCTCATTTTTCATAATTGTGTTTGTTAATTAGTAAGTATATTGACTATACACACGAGAAATATAGCACACATCAAATGTAAGGAACATATGAAATATTGTGTGAAATAATGTTGCTAATAATTAAAGTAAAAATAAATAAAAATCTCTATGCAATTACTTGGCAGTAAGCATTGCTGATTTCAGTAGGGCTTCTGAAGAGATATGTATAAGAAATCCAATATTTGAATTAGAATTCTTTGGATAAAATTCTCTTAAATGCAATGAGACTGTTGTGCAAATACCTATTCATTCATGACTGTCATCTATACATGTCAGCATATTAACTGCACTATTAAGAAAACATTCCTCATTTGTACTAGAAGATTTTGTAGAATTATCTCACAGTGGTACAGGTAGAAAGAAAAATGTAAAACATAGATTGAAATAGAAGAAATAAATATGTAGAATAGCACAATTGATATCACTTACCTGTTACTGAGAATCTTGCAGAGCTTTGAAATCCAAGAACTATGGAATGCAAGCGAAATATGTATCTCAAAATCACCACCGGGAATCCTGGGAAAATGTTAAAGGTGTCATAGTAAGTTGTCAATAACAATAATTTCTAATATAGAAAAAATGATTTGGATTTCCTTTTCACCCACTCTAAATTTGTTTCACATTCTTTCATTTATGTGGAAGAATTTAGGCTCTTTCTCATGACTCACTTCCTTAAAAGACAAAACAGCACTGGAAGAAGAAAGAGGGTGTGCCCTGACATGTAGGCTTCACATCAAAGTAATGTCTATAATTTATTCCATCATTCTCCTCTTGTGAAATTGGAGATCCACCCAGCATTTTTTATTGGCACATTTTATTGGAAACAGAATTCTGGACTATCCACTGTCATCATTGTTTCATGTTTGTATAACCCAATTCTATACATTTTCTGGAGGAACTACCATACAAGAAATATTCTATAGTCTGAATGTTTTTTCAAAAGTAAGCCACACTAAATTCAGGTGCAATCGTAATCTGACATATCACATAGGTTTTATTACTGCATCTAAATACATAAAATTAGAGATAGAGATCATTGAGCAATACATAATTGCTGTTTTTCATTCAGTCACATGGCTGAGCAAATGTGATATATCTTAGTTGATGTATTAAAATGTAAATTTATAATTATTATTTAAAAAACAAAATAAACCCAATTCAAAAAGTACAGTTTTCATTTACAAAATCATTCAAAACAAGGACTGGGAACCTATGGCACTCCTGATGTTGTTTGATCTCAATTTCTATATAGCCAGCTAATTGGACATCCAATGACATTGAGAAGGCTTGTTTTTCCTGATTTAAGGCACTTCCACTGCAAACAGTAACTAGGACACTATGTATAATTTGAAATATAAAATCACACTACTTATTACACTACTCCTTTTTAATCATTTTTTAAAATATGGGAATAGTTCTTCAATTTTAGAAAAATTGAAATAGCATTATTCATGAAATTCAGCACAAAATTAGAACACAAAACTAGAATCTATTAACCTAGATAATTTGTAATCTGACATAGATGAAAATCCAAAAGCTTTATGAGAAGTTCAGTTCTAAGAATTGTTAGGGTTTATTTCTATAGTAGACAAGGGAATAGAGACAAGGGAAATTTACATTGTATTTATTAAAAAATAATTTGCATGAAGTTCAATGTACTATCAAGTAAGCATGTATATATCCAGTCTTTAGATGCAATGGTTTTAAGTTGGCCAATCAAACAGGAAAAATTCAAGGTTACTCTTTACATCCCCTTATTCATTACATGAACATGATCAATAAATGCTTTTTTTAAACTATGTCCTTGTGTCATTGTCTTTATATTAACCTCTTGAGACACTTTAAAGTCATCCTAACTGGTCTAGGTTTAAAGTAGTGTTTTCCCCTCTTTTACTACACAGTTTCTGCTACGCACATAATTTTGTGTGCTTCACCAATATTGCTGAAATTGGAGTCTGCACAGTACCTATGGACACTTTGGCCTTCTGCAGTCATTGCCCTTGAATTGGCCTCCATACTCATGTCGCTTGTGCTGCAGAAGATGCAAGACACCTGGCTTTTGCAGAACTACCTTAGACTTAGAATAACTTAGTGTACATTTAAAGTGAAAAAATTCACTTTAAATGTACACTAAGCGGCATACATTAAAATGAAATTTCATTGCATACAGCTCTCAAAGGGTCACCACCTCCGATCTACACTACTGTGTAAATAATATCTGACTGTTCCATTCAATAGTGTTTTCAAGACTTTGACAGGCTCCTGACCAGCACAGATTTAATGATGTTTGAAGAGCATTAGACTTTCCTTTCAAAGAAAGTATTAATACTGTTTTGAAGCATTGCTAAAGCTATATTTAAAAAAAAAAGGACTAGCACACTTGAAAGAGTGCTAGTCCTGACAGATAAACATGTGGAGAAAAAACATGGGACTTTGTTTTTATATGTGACATTGGCAACAAGATTATTATATGCCAAAGATGGAAAAAAGAATATATACGCACAATGGAAGAATGGATTAAAATTAATGGAGCAAGCCTGAGATTGACTGCATGTTTAGAGACAATAATTTGACTAAATTTCATGTGACTGGAGATTTCTTTCAAGATAAAAAATCAACTTTTGACTTTGGGATTTAAAGATTAGATTGCATTTGACTAGAGAAATATTGTAGCATTATAATTTTTTTGTGTTTGATAATTCACTATCTTTTAGATGAAATTAAGAGGATATTTTATGAATACTGTTTTCTTAGTATTTTGACTATTAATATTTGAAGATATATGATAGCTTGGTGTTATTTGTTTAAACGTAGAGGTGGCTATGTTATTAATATCTCTATTGTTAATTTTTAGTATAAAAAAAGTCAGATTTCATTTTTGTCACTTTTAATTACTCAGTTTCCCTTTTTCTTTATGTTAATTTGTATTTTAATGTTTGATTTTGAATTAAAAAAAAGATACTATATATAAAAAAATGCTAGTTCCATGTTTCATTAAAGTAAATTAAAACTGAGAAAGAGAGCCAGGTTCTGCCATATATGTGTTGTTGCTAGTTCTGTTATCTCTCAATATATCAGTGCAGAAATGGGCCTACCCAGCTTTCAGTTCTGTACCTGCTGACAGCCCAGGGGAGGAAGGTGACAATGGCCATTTGTGAGTTGTTGCAAGCTTTCAAGGACTTCGCTTCACAGATAATTAGATGTGAGGTGTTGAAGTTGGGCTTAGAGGAATATCTGAGATTGCTGATAGTGTACCACTCTCCCTGCTGCCCAGTAGCATCCATGCCTGAGCTGCTGGATTTGTTGCCAGATTGGCAAGGCTGTTGGTCCTTTGAATTTTATTTTGCCATCCAAGTGTTTTAAGTTACTTGAGAACCTAGGAATTTGTGGCCTGAGCCAAGTTAGTAATAGCCTGCATACTTGTTGCTTTTTGTCATGGTGGGATTAATACAGAATCTGAAAGTGGTGGACATTGACCTCATTCATTGCTATGGACATATCACTCTTTGATTGCCTTTCAAATCACTGCAGTGATCCCTCCCTGGAGGGCCTCTCTGCTGTTAACCTGGCCACTTGTTTCTGGATCCAGGCCCTTCTTGAGCTGTAAAAGCAGCCAGAGAGGCAACTTGCAGTTATGTTCATGCTGTGTTCTCATCTTAACAGAGGAGATAGTACCACCTGTCATGAAAGAGTGATAGTCCTCTCATCGTCACAAGACCATCCTTGAACCCATTTGCTTTTGATAATTATCATCCAGTCTCCTTCCATTTTGGGAGATGGTTTTTGAGAAAGTGACTGATCTATAGTTGATGAAATTCTTGTAAGAAACTGAGTATCTAGTCTTCTTTCAGTCAGGTTTCAGGCCCAGATTTAGTACTGAGACAACTTTGGTCGCACTTGTAGATTACCTATGGTGGAGCTAGGTTAAAGGTAGCAATCTTTTTCCAGGGCTGGTTCCAGCTGGTATTGGTTGGGGGGTGGGGACAGATTACTCTCCTGGCCTCTTCTTTGTGCCGTGCCATCGGATTCTACTCTCTACCCTCCATTTCAAAATCTACATGAAACCACTACTGGGTACCATGCTGACCATGGGGGTCAGCATTATCAATATATTAATGATACTCAATTATATCTCTCAATCCCAGCCTGGCCACTTGAGATTACCAAAATTCTGTCCCAGTGTCTATAGTCTGTATGGATTTGAATGGGTAGGAACTGTCTCCAATTCAGTTCTACAAAAACTAAGACGTTTTGGGTGTTTGTGCCACCCAGACCTAGGGATATTCCACCTCTGTCTTTTGGATAGGGTTGCACTTTTCCACTTAAGAGTGGTTGCACAACATAAAGGCCTTCCTGCATTCACATCTCTCATTTGATGAGCAAGTAACAGCTGTGGTCAAGAAGGTGACAGTTGTTTGTACAGATTCATCTGGTGTGTCAGTTGCACCCTTTTGTATAAATCAGGAAACACATGATTCATGTCCTGGTCACCTCACGGCTTGACTACAGCTTTTATATGGGCTGCCTTGAAGACCACTTGGAAACTTCAGTTGGTTCAGAAAGTAGCAGAGCAGGCAGGATATCCATGTAGCATCTTTAGTTTGTAATTTGCACTTGTAGGTTTGCATGTGGGTGCCATTCAAAGTGCTGGCTGTTATTTATAAAGCCCATCATGGCATAGGTCCTGGTTACTTGAGAAACCACTATCTCCCATTAAATAATACCATCTATCAGAACCATGAAAGTGCACAGTCTCTGTCACAGTGCCTGTCCTCTGGAATGAGGTCTCATTCCAATATTATGGAGATTTTTTTAATGAGTTAATGTTATTCTTCCTAAATCTTTCATAGCATGAATGACTACCCCAGAGGTGGTATTCAGCCGGTTTGGACCGGTTCGGGCGAATCAGTAGCAGCAACTGCGAGTGCACCCGGTCACCCGGGCGTAATACCGTCCTGTTTAGCCACGTTTTCGAGGCCAGGCACATGCGTGGAAGGTGCACACACAAGCAAAGTGCATGCGCAGAAGGCTGGGCATGTGCGCAGAAGTCGCATGCATGAAGCGTGTGCATGCGGGGCGAACTAATGGGAAGAATATGTGAAACCCACTGCTGGACTCCCGTGTGGCTCTAGTTATGGATGAATTAGAACACATGACATTCTTTACCATTCTGTAGAGAATCATGGTTCAATTAAAGCTGGAGAGCCAGCATGATCTGCACCTGTTTTGTTAATTATTATCCCAATCCTATTCCAACTTAATTTTAAATGATTCATATAAAAGTGCACAAAATGCATTGGCATGGCACTAAAAGTGTCTATCCTTAGCCCATGTGTAACTCAGGACAAGGGAAAGTCTACTAGTAGTTCAACGGCGACTTTGGTGTGTCCAGTTTCTTATTTTAACTATCTGTTTGTCTATCACATTTACTGTATATAGCCACCCTCCTCACAAAAAACAATTCTGGGTGTTTTTATTATTTAAATAGTGAAATATAAAATTAAAAACACTACATTTGATAATGACAGCATAATAAATCAAAGAGAAAGTACTAAATATAAATTTTAAAAAAACATTGTGAGAAAATTTTCTAGTGACATATTCTGCCATTCCCTCCTTTTTGCTTCCCCAGTTGCTGACCACAGCCTAGATATTTGTCTTGCACATTGAACATTAAACAGTATTACTGGTTATCTGAATCCTTGAGTCCTTTTATCTGGTATTTTTTTATTGGTCTAACTTTTTTCTTCAAAACCATATTCCCAATGTCTAAATTTGTCTTGCTGTGTCTTTGAAATCTCTCTATGCTCTCCTGTAACATCCCAGATATTAATTAAAATTATCTATATAATTTCTGAAATGATGCTGAATTAGATAGGGTTAGGTATTTGTTACTGCCAGACATTATTTTCCATCTCTGTCTGAAAACTTTTATTACTTTTTGAGCCCACCCAAATTAAATGAAGCCAAGCATTTGATATTGTTTTTAAGGTTTTAAGTGATGCAATGGAGCAGTGCCAAGCCTTGTCTTCACCATGCCTTCAAACTGATAGAAATTGTATATTTCTATTTTATGGGAAGTAATCCTAAAGCATCCTCCTATGCCCCAGTGCAGCTTTTTGCTTTGAGGAGTTGAAGAAAAAATTCAGCTCAAAAAGTTTAGCCAGCTAGAGCACATCATGTGCAGCAAACGGGACAGAAGCTGAGTCCTTGCAAAGTTTTTTGATATGTGACTCCTTTTATGACTCAGCTTGCTGCAGAAAGATTTTCTTGCCTTACATCATCCCTTTCCCATGCTCTTCAGCTTGGGTCAAGGTAAGTAACTTACAGATTTTTCCAGGCATGCAGTATATTTAGCGAATTAAGCTGTTAAAAGGGATAGAGATTGGAGGGCAGAGGTGGGGAGTTTAATTTCAAAACCTAATTGGGAGGGAGGAGAAAGTTGGACAAGTCTGCCAATCCCAGCTTTTTTTGTTTTCTTTATTGAAGAAATGTGGATTTGGGGGGAAGAGAGTAAAACTTTCTGAAGATATGCAAATATTGAAATTATAGCTCTGAAAGGCTAGGAAACCCATCCTTTTTTTTTGCCCCAGAAGGGTAGCAACAACCAGGAAAGGCAGGCACACCCATCTTTTCCTTCCACATTGTTGCCAGCTGTGTGGTGGGCATGTATGCAAGTTACTCAATGGATAGGAAATGGAGCATGGGGTATCTCGTGGTGAGGGAGGCTGTGGGAGACCCAAGGCAGGTGGCCTTGTGCCTGCATTATGCCTCCCAGGATCTCTCCCACACCTGAGGCACCCCATGCTCCACTTATTGACCTGTGTGTTCAACGAATGCACTGGGAAGAGCAGGGATGATTGGTCATTACTTGAGGCAGTTCTTTTAATATTTGTCCTGACTTCTGATCCTAATGTACAAGCTCCAATGTGGTTGTAACTTAAGGATTATCTGTACTCCACAGAGTATTTCCAGGTGTTGCTATTCCCTGGCAATGCTAATCAAGAACAGTTTGCTATTATCATTTGCTCCTTCTGTGTCACCTTATATCCTTCCCCCAAATCTGGTCAAGGATTTAGCAAAATTTCAAAATTGCTCTAGGCTCCTGTTTAAAAATAATCACAGGAGATTCAGACACATAGGAGTGGTTGTGTCAAATAGAAAGGCAGCTCCGTCCTTTATCATTTCATACCTCTCTGTACTTACAACCTGTTAGTTCAGCAACTCAATAGATGGCTAAACTTAAAATCTACACTTGATTATATTCACCTATTCCTACTTGTCCACATGTTAAAGAAAGTGATTATTTTTCCAACAACAGATGATGTTGAATAGGAGTCGAAACAAACCATAAGAATCATCACTTTCCTGAACCTGTTCTAGGGAACATAGGAAAGTCACTATTACGACATACTAGCCTCATTGCAATTAAAAGTATTCCACTTTTCTGCTGCATCATGAACTGAAGGGAAGCACTTAAATAAAGTCCTTCTGGGACTTTAAACCTTCTAAAGTCCTTCTTTGCACCCACGTTTTCTATAGTGACTAACCAAATACATATGGAAAGCCCACAGACAAGGTATTAGCATCCAGCTATTTCTAACAATTCTTATTTATAAAAACTCGATACTATAGCATTGGCTTCATGATTTAGACTCACAGGGTTGGAAAGGAACTCAGTTGTCTTCTCCAACTTCCTGAATTTGAGCTGGGATCATCAAATCATAGTCCTGTAATATTTCTTTCTAGAGATGGATCATGCTAGGAAACTGTTTAACAACTGTCATTTCAAGTTTGGATCGCCTTCGGTAAAGCTTCGGCTGCACCTGCTGGTTCTCGTCCTACCTTCTTAGAATAAAGCTACACCTTTTTTTTTTCTTCAGATGATAGCCCTTTAAATATTTGAGGAACTTCTTCCCCTGGTTTTCTCTCTAGAGTCTAGACTAAACATGCCCACTTTTACACGGTTCTTATTGGGTTTCATCATCATCTTCTTCGGAATAAGGCCACTCCTCATTTAAAGCTTATAAAATGATAGCTATCATCTCCACATTTTACAGCGGTGGATTCCACAAGTTAATTATGAACTATACAAAACCCACCGGTTAAAGCTGAATTCTGTCTTATTCTGCATCTACGCCTAAATTAAGCTCTATGAAGGCTTTATTGGATCTTCAGACATTCTTTTCCTCATAATTTTTATAGCAGGAATAATTGCCGTTAAAGAGCCGTTATTATTTCCCAGATCTTCGTTGTAGTGCGACTGACCTCCTCAATTTCCTGACGGCGGGGGACTACAATTCCCAACGTGCATTTCGCTGCCCCCTTTGTGATGCTCCTCTCCCCCCGCCGCCGCTATCCTTTGAGGAAGGGGAAGAGCAGAAAAAAACTAAGTCTCGCGAGAGTCTTGAGAGCAAAGGGGAAGGGTGGTGTTGCGCGTACAAGTTTGGGGTCTGACTGGGCCATCGCGCCACTTGGAAAAGACACCGAAAGTGAGCGATACGCTTGTGGGCGGGCCAGCCCGGGGCGTTTTCTTCTGCGTCTGCGGCCCAGTTAGCGCTGAGTAACTCCTATGGCGGCTTCTGCGGCTGAGGAGAAGGCGGCGACCCCGAGCGACCTCTCCCCGAAAGAAGAAGGGGAACTAGAGGACGGAGAAATCAGCGACGATGACAATAACGATGCACCCCCTGAACCCAGCGGCCGAGACCGGAGTGGCGGCCGGGGCCCTTACGCCCGACGCAGGCCTCCTCCCGACCTGCGGAACAGCCTTCCGTCCTCCTCTCGCCGCTTCCCTCACTTGCGCCACCAGCCTCCCCCGGAACTCGGACACGTCCATGGGCACGGCGGCGGAGGTGGCGGGTACCGGCTCAAGGAGCCTTTCCGTCCCCAGCCGCCGCCTTCCTCGTCGTGCTCGCGGCTGCCACCCGGCCCTCATCCCGACGCCGGCCCAAGACTCTCCTTCTGGGAACGCAGCCACAACGCGCTGGACCGGTTTCGTTTTCGAGGCAGGGCCTACCGGGGCGGAGGCCGCTGGGGCAGGAGCCGAGGTGGCAATTCCCCTGGAAAACCCTCGGGAGGAGGTGGCGGATACAGTGGCAGCCAAGGCTGGAGGGAGCCTTCGCCTCGGAAATGTATCCTTGTCATAACAGTTGCCTCTTTCTGCCGCTGCTGTTTTATCTCGAAGGAAGGGGTGCTGTGCATGAGGCGACTTAAATTTGCTTTCTCGGTTCGTTTAAGTCTGATTATAGGTGTCGGTTAGCTCATACAAAGCGATAATTGGGGAGAACTCCTGCTGCTGTCTCGCCTTGCTCAAGGTTGGGTGGAGACTACAGTGACGGCATCATAAAGGGTCAAGAGCTGTTTCTAGTCGGAGGGTGATGGAAGATCTGAATGCAGAGTTGCTGAGGTTTGCCGAGAATAATGGGAATTGTGCTCTCAACAGATCTCTTGAGGTCACCAGGTTGGGAAAGCTGTTTTAGAAACGGAGGAAATGTTGCAAATATGAATGTTTAAAAAGAATATTTGCAGAAGGGGGACATGCAGATGTTGACTTGCTTGGAAAGCTGCTGAAGAATTGAACATTGAGATGGGAAAGATTCACTGCTGTCAATTCTAGTCTATTTAGAACTTAATTTCACATTTATGCAGATTATTAGCTATTCAGTTTTGGAAGAGTTCAGTGGGTGATCTTCATTACATTAGTGCTAGGGAGCTTATTGAGGGAGATATTGTATATTAACTATTTTTTTAAAAATGTCCATTGGCTGTGTTTTATTTCTAATACGGTTAGGATGGTATTTAATGTGTTGTTTATAAACTTTCAAGTGTTTGGGGGGAATAATTCAGGGAGATATAGTATGCAATTCTGTATACTATATTGATCTTAGTATAGTGATTTCTAAAGGTCCTCCCCCAGGGGGAGAGCCTTCTCTGGGGACACCTACTATCTGGAACGAGCTCCCCCCAGAGATACGGAGGATCCCGGATCTGCGCACCTTCCGCCGCACCTTAAAGACCTTACTATTTCACCAGGCCGGCCTGGCCTAATTTTCCCCCCTCTTTTATAAAAGATTTTTAAAATTTTAAATATCTCTTAGTATTTTATATACTCAATTTTAAATTGGTTTTAAAAGTTTGGGGTTTTAAATTTGTCGGGGCCAAAATTATTTAATTTGATTTTATTCTATTTTTAAATTTTGTATGTATGTGTTTTTATTGTTTGGCTGTGCACCGCCCTGAGTCCTTCGGGAGTAGGGCGGTATAGAAATCTAATAAAATAAATAAATAAATAAAATAAACAGTCAAAAGGATTATATTGCAAATTACATAGCTAAGCCTGGGTTACTAAGAATATATTGTGGGGCATGTGACCTGCGTTGACCCAATTAGGGTCAAATATTAATACAGAATTCTGATAGATTTTTGCTGCTTTTGACTAGAGAGTTTATATCTTCCTTTTCATTGAAGTTGTATTTAATGAGTTTGAGCTTATGTTGAATATCATTGCCAAACATTGCTACAACCACTTATATCTTCAATATATACTACTTAAGTAATATTTTTGTTTGGATTGCTTTTATTTATGTAGTTTATTCATGCAACTATGAGTAGGATGTAGTTTTGGTCTGTATTTTTGCATTTCAAATAAGAAATCTGAATGAAGATGCATTCAGAACTTTTGAGAGCTGTTCTTGAATGGGTATTTCAGTTTATTTTAGTATTCTTATTTTGAATGAAAGTACTTCTCAAACAGTCCTTATATATTGCTGCATAAGGTTTTTATTTTTCATGTTCATAGTTTAGTGGGTGCACCAATGAATTTAGTTTTATTCAATTATATTTTAAAAGTAAAATTGCTTTAAGCAGTTTTATATGATCATCTTGTCTTAGAATTATTTCAACATTACCAATAGAATGGTCAATTAAATTTTAGATAAATTGTTGATACCTGTATTTGAAACTTAGCCCTGCCACTAGGCTATTGGATTGATAATGGAATAATTTATTTATTTGCATTGCACATTGCCCTTTCAAATATTCAAAACATCTGACCCATACTGTCTTGCTATAAGCAAGAGAGGTCCATTTGTCTAGTGGTCTAGAGTCAGTTTGGTGTAGTGGTTATGGGTCCAAGTTAAAAAGCACGAGACCATAAGTCTCATCTTCGCCATGAAAGCTAGCTGCGTGTATTTCGACGAGTCACATTCTCAGCCTGTCTCACCTCACAGGGTTGTTGTGAGGAGGAGGAGGAGGAAGGTGTGTTGGATATGTTTGGCACCTTGAATTATTTGTAAAAATAATAAAAGCGGGATACAAATAGATAAAAACTTTAGCAATAAATAGTACTTTAATATTAAGATAAATATTGAACTTATACACTTCTAATCTTATCAAATAGCTAAATTAGACTCTTGTAAGTTTGAAACTTCCAATTTTTTATCAGTTCAATTATTCCTGTATAAAATCATGCGGTTTATAGTTCTTCAGTCTTCTAATATAGTTTAAATTGCCTTGTAATTAAATATAAGGAAAATCACTGAAATGTGAGCTATTAAGAAGTATAAATAACATCAGAAATGAAAGTAAATAGACAATATCTACCAATATCAAAAACCTAAGTTTGCCTTAGCAAAATTTGGATTATTGTGTTGTAGAATTATTTTGCAGCCTCATATCTTGACACTATGTCCAGTCGTACAATAACTCAATCTGATTACTTGACCAAATTCCTAGCAGACTTCAAGAAAATATCACTTGGGATGTGTACTGAAGCTAGATATATTTCTGATAAATGATCAAGCTTGATTGAGGCAGTATCTTCAGGGGATATAACTTAAAGTGCCAGAGAAGAATCAGGTGCAATGACAAGCCACTCAAAATTTTACTGATGGTGAATAAATTCAGAAGTACAATATATGTTTTCTTTATTAAATTCTGAAAATATTTTAGAATATATAATGGTGTGAGCATGGAGTAAAATCCCTTAATGCCAAACATTGCATTTCAATATTTGCATATCTTCATTGTAATGATATCAAATATATCCTAGATAAATTCTTTAATTAATGCATCAGCCAAAACATTTGGAAAGTCCCCATCTCGCAAGCAGAACTATTCTTCTAAAAATGATAATTCAGCTGAAGAGAGTTTTGAGGATCTTTTGTTGAAATACAAACAGATTCAACTAGAACTTGAATGTATTAATAAAGATGAGAAACTGGCTCTAAATAATAAAGAAGACAGTGCCCAACAAAGCAACAGTGAAGTGGCCAGTCCACAGGACCAAACAATTGAAAATGTCAGTATTACAAAAGATGCTGTAAATGAAGTGTCTCCTGAGGAGAATAAAGTATTAACTTTTCAGGCATTTGAACTGAAACCTCTTAGGCAAAAACTGCCCACGCTAGCTGAGAGGAGCAAGTTGAAAAAAGCAAAAGATGGAATAAAAGAACATTCACAGAAAAACGACCCGGATATCAATGAAGGTAATTTTTTTAAAAAAGTTGATTATATGTAACCATTTTGAAATGAAATTTCAAATGTTTTAAAAAAACATTTCTCAATGAAAAAAAGGTTTAAATTTTATTACCAGAAATAATGCTTAGAAGCTGAACTTTTTGATGTATTAAGATTAATTGCATTTTCTGGTTATTGAAATTAAGGAAGCTATCAATTTTTAAAAAGCCAATAGTTGAAATAAAATATATTAAATATGAGTCATAGAATTTACAAATTAAAAATTCCTTTGATACAGGCCAGGGGTCAGCAACCCTCAGCTCTGGAGTCGCATGTGACTCTCATCCCTCTGCTGCGGCTCCCTGTCACTCAAAATATGCATCACAACTGCCAATGTGTAATATCCATTAAGCTTTTTGACACCCAGTAGGCCAACCATGGATAAATCCCAAGAAAAGAAAAGTTTCAGAAGAAAACTTAAATGTTTGGCATTTAATTCAACTACATATGCTAGTTCTATGGCCGCTCAGAAAATAGTCAGGCACGGGAAGGGTTTTGTGGCTCCCGGTGTTTTCTGTGGGAAACCAGTCCAAATGGCTTTTTGAGTGTTTAAGGTTGCTGACCCCTGATATAGGCTGTATTCACATAACAAACTAAGTATGGGTTACCGTATTTTCCGGCGTATAAGACGACTTTTTAACACATGAAAATCTTCTCAAAAGTCGGGGGTTGTCTTATACGCCGGGTGTAGTTCTCCTGTAACCAGGCAGACCAGCCCGAAAGGCTCTGACGAGCCTTAAATGGCTCTGGCGATCCCAGCT